AAGGTACTGGGCTATTGAACACTTGCTGTATGCCAAACACAGTGCTAACTGTTTAACAAACATTTTCTCATCAAATCCTAAATACTACCGTATAAGACCATTTTTTATAATACCGTTTTACAAGAGAGAAACTGAGAGTCAGAGAGGTTATGCCAATGTTACACAACTAGGAAATGCGGAACTGTGATCTGAGTCTGACTTAAAGGCTTTTGGTATGAACATCCATGCCTCACTGTATTATAATGCCTCTCATTATAACATCAAAGATCCCATGTTTAATGTTGATTGTGGCTTGTGCCTGGAATTGTAATCCCAGTACTAAGGAGATCAATCTATTCAGTTTACAGACTTTGAGAGTCAGACTTTGTGCCTCGTTCCAGCAGTACAGACTTGTAGTCTGCCTTAAACAAATTGTTGGTAGGGCTGGTAGATTCAGACACAGTAACATTTGATTTGACATTCTTTCAAACAGATTTATTAACTGTTAATTTATATAAATCTTTAGTCCTGTGGTGCCATATATTACAAATAATGACACTCAGGCCAAATACATAGGGTTGCCAGACAAAATACAGAATGTCCAGTTGTCTTAGGCTGGGTTCTCTAGAGAAGCAAAACCAGTAAAGAGAGAGGTTTATATCAAGGAAATGGCTCACGCGGTTGTAGAGGCTGGAACATACCAAATCCGTGGGTCAGGCTAGAGGCTTCTCCTGATTCATGTAGCCACAGGGGCTGACGAACCCAAGGTTGGCAGGTCAGACAGCAGGGCTCTTGCTCACAGGCTGTGAAGACCAACAGATCCCAAGATCGGCAGGCAAGACCATAGGTAAGCTGCTAGCTCAAGTCCCAAGAACCGGAGGTCACACAAACAGGAGCCAGCTGCAGGATCCAGAGTGAGCAAAAGCCCACAAGCCTTGCCAGAAAGTCCACCTATATTGGATACAGGCCACCCCCCCAAAGGAAACTCCCTTTCAACTGGTTGTACTTACAGCAGATCCCATCATGGAGGTGATCACATTATATCAAATCTCAGCATGGAAGTGATCACACCATCAAACAACTGCCAAAGTACATTATAACTGCCAAACCACTGAGGATCATGGCCCAGCCAAGTTGACACACACCCTTAATAATCATACCAGTTAAACTTGAATTTCAGGTAAACAGCAGATAAAGTTTTTTTTAGTATAAGTATGTCCTGTGCAAAATTTTGGAATAATTATGCTAAAAAAAGTTCATATTTCAATATCGTCTTTGGTAGGGTTGCTAAATTTAGCAAATAAAAATATAGAATGCCCAGTTAAATTTTAATTTCAGATAAACAGCAAATGTTTTTTAGTGTACATCCCATGCAACCCTACCAAATAGCATACTGAAACATCAAAGAAGTTTCCCTGTCTGTTCACTCATAATGATCAGCTGCTGCTTTTAGTCCTTGAACGATTATAATCATTGCTTAAAAGTACTTTCCTGCTCAAGTCCTCAAATTGATATGAAAGGGCAAGGGACCTCAGATAGGTAAAGTAATCTTGAAGAAGAAGAATAATGTAGGAGAACTCACACTTGTTGATATCAAAACATACTATGTAACCCACTGCCATCAAGTTGATTCTGACTCAGCGACCCCATAGGGTTTCCAAGGCTGTCAATCTCAATGGAAGCAGACTACCACATCTTTCTCCTGTGGAGCCGCTGGTGGTTTTGAACCACTGACCTTTTGGTTAGCAGTCAGTTGCTTTAACCACTGCGCCACCAGGGCTGCTTATGTGTATACTATATAGCCACGGTAATTTAAAGAGCCTGATATTGGTGTAATAACAGACATATAGACCAATGGAATAGAATAGAGAGTCCAGAAATAAATCCATACATCTGTGGTCAACAGATTTTTTACAAGGGTGCAAGTTCATTCAATGGGAAAGGAAAGGTCTCTTAAATGGTGCTGGGAAAATTGGTTTTCCATATGCAGGAGAATGAAACAGGATCCGCCTTACACTGTACACAAAAAACAATTCAAAATAGATTAAGGACATACATGTGAAAACAAAAACTACAAAATTCTTAGAAGAAAATGTAGGGACAAGGCTGTGAGGCCTAGTTTTAATGATGCATTATCTGATATGAAAACAAAAGTAAAAGTAGCAAAGGCAAAATAGATAAATACAACCTCAGAAATTAAATACTTTTGTTCGTCAGAGACTTTATCAACAAAATGAAGAGGCATCCTACAGATGGGGAGAAATTTTTCCAGAACCATAAATTCAATAAGGGTCTAATATCCAAAATATATATAAAATGTCTATAACTTAACAAAAAGACAGACAACCCAATCAAAAAATGAGCAAAAGACTTGAATAGACATTTCACCAGAGGATATTCAAATGTCAACAAGCACATGAAAAGAACTTCAACTACCCAAAAACCCACTGCGTTGGAGTCGATTTCAACACATAGCTACCCTATAGGACAGAGTAGAACTGCCCCATAGGGCTTCCAAGGTTGTTAAGCTTTACGGAAGCAAACTACCACATCATTATCCCGAGGATTGACTGCTGGGTTCAAACCACCTACCTTTCGGTTAGCAGCCCAGCGCTTTAACCATTGTACCATCAAGGCTCCTATCATTAACTATTGAACCAAAAAAAAACCAAACCCATTGCTGTCAAGTCGTTCTGACTCATAGTGACCCTAAAGGACAGAGTAGAACTGCCCCATAGGGTTTCCAAGGAGCAGCTGATGGATTTGAGCTGCCACCCTTTTGGTTAGCAGCGGAGTTCTTAACCACTGCACTACCAGGGCTCCATATACACAAAACCACTTAATTTTTTATGTTAATTTTTTATTGTGCTTTAGGTGAAAGTTTACAGAGCAAATTAGTTTCCCACTTGATAGTTTGTACATAAAATATTCCATGACATTGGTTGCATTCCCTATAATGTGTCAGCACTCTCCGCATTTCCACCGTGGATTCCCCATTTCCTTTCCTCTGGCTTTTCTACCCCTTCCTGCCTTCTCATCTTTGCTTTGGGGCAAATGTTCTTTTGAGCTTGTATAATTTATTCTAAGGAGCAGGTTCCTCTCAGGTGTTATTGTTTATTTTATGGGCCTGTCCATTGTTTGGCTGAAAGGTTTTCTCTGGGGAAACAAAACCACTTTAAAGGAAAACTTTACAGTGGGATTCATGGCTCCCTGCCTTGGGAAGGCAGTGTGAATGCAATTTAACCCTTTCATAATGTTTTCCATATCGTTATGAATTTCAGTCAGTGCACTCAGCTTTAGTACACTGATGCTCTATGCTATTAAAAATATTGGTTCCTTCATTAAACAGTCCCAAATTATATTAATTTTTATCTGCTTTTTACAGGGATGTTCTGGTTTTTTTTAAGGGGGTTCCTTTTTTCTTTTTTTTAACCGTGAAATTCTCATTTCTCATAACTGTCTATGTAGACTTACCTCTGTAATTCTCCTTTTTCCTTTGTTTAATTTTCTTTTTTAATGTGCTGTAGCTTGAGAAACCAAATTACTTAGACCAGTTAGAAATGTACCTAAAAGTAATCATAAGTCAGCTTTATGTGAAAAACTTTAAGGTATTCTGGCATGAGTAAAATGCATGGACTTAAAGAACATTTGTTCAGTAAACATTTGTGAGGTGCCTGCCTTTTTGCAAGGTACCATAGGTAATATGATCATTAACATTAGAATCTAACTGGGAAAATGGGCACATATAAAAAAGTGTTATAATTCTATATTAGCAGTATAATATAAGCAACATATTAGGTTGAACACAGACAAAGGCGCAACTGACTCTATCAAGTATTAACGAAAGTAAGCCCATTTTGAAGGCTCAGGAGCTTTTTCTCCCCTCCTAGTTCTTTGCTAAATTTCAAATAGTTGATACTGCATAATAAGTGAATTTTTTAAAAATTAGGGTATGTACACGAAACAAATATACCAAATTAGTAATATATATTCTTCATACTCTCAGTTTCAGTTTGTAAATTCAGCATTCTTTCTGTGTATGTCTTGCCTTAAAATTAAGCTGTGCTGCCATCAGGTGGCAGTCATACATTAGTTATGGTCACACAATACAGTTAATAAGCTTATGTATTATACATTGCCACAGCATGATAATCATGGTGAGAGAATATAAAAAGAAGACCTTATGTGGGTGCATAGAAAAAAGAAGAGACTTTCTGGTAATGGAGTATTAATGCAGAAGGAAAAAGATAAAGTATGATTTGCAACACAAGATATGAGTTTCTCATATCTCTGTTTGAATCTCAGTTTTCCCACTTACTAGCTATGTTGTCTTGGCCAGGTAATTAACCTCTTTGTGCCTCAGTTTCTTCACATATTAAATAAGATTAATATCTGCTTGATAGGGTTTTTATATAGTTTTAAGAGTCCCTGGGTGGCACAAATGGTTAACCACTTGACTACCAATCAAAAGGTTTGCGATTTGAACCCACCCACACGCACCTTGGAAGAAAAGCCTGGTGATCAGCTTCCAAAAGTTCACAACCTTGAAAACACTGTAGAACAGTTCTACTCTGCACATATGAGGTCACCATGAGTCAGAATCGACTAGATGGCAACTGATTTGGGTTTTTTGTTTTGTTTATTTAAATAAAAAAATGGTAGGTAGGATGCTGTCAAGAAATGATAGTTGTTACTGTAGGAATCAGGACAAGTGGGGAGAAAGGTTGGCAGTTTGAACCTACCCAGTGGCTCCAGTGGGAGAAAGACCTGCTGATTTGCTTTTGTAAAGATTATAGCCAAGAAAACCCTATGGGGCAGTTCTATTCTGTGACATGGATCTCTATGAGTTGAAAACAATTTGACGACACATTACAAGAGGAGTGAGAGAGGGAGATTAATTCTCACAGGGAGCTTGTGGAAAGAGCAGTGGAGGGAGTTTCTTTCCCTACCATCTTCCTTGCCTGATTGGCTATTAAAATTTGCCATATTATTAATAACTGTACCCTTTTGGAATTTTTCAGGTACGCAGATTTTCTGAGGCATTCTTTTGTTTTGAACATCCAAGAGAAGCTGCCATTGCATACCAGGAACTTCAGTAAGTGGCATAAATCCAAAATTAAAATAATTTTATTTTCTTTTACATAAAATTACTCTGCAAAATTTATCAGTGACAGAATATACAATATTTATAATAGAAAAAAATTAGGATAATTTGAAGTTCATAAATCCTCTGTTTAATCAAGTTTGGTTTAATCTTATGAATCACTTAATGAAAGCCCCATACCATGCATGAAGAAACAAAATACACTGTTACCCCTTATGCCATAGCAGATCTACTGTAACTTTGGTAGACCTGTACAGCTCTAGCTCCAGCCTTCCATTTGACCATTTTGTTCTATCTTTATTTTTGCAGACCAGGATCTCTTGCATTCATCATTATGTATTACAGAGTTTTACAATTTTTAGCCAGACTGACACTGCCTTCCCTTACGCAAATGATATGAAGTTAGAATATCTAAAATAAATGCCTTCCATTTTTCTTACTAAGTATATTTAGGCCTGATTTTCTTTGGCTTTAAAGAATATTTTGAAGGCATTATGCTGAGCAAAATGAGTCAGATACAAAAGTAAATATTCTATGATTCTATCTATGTAAAGTTCTGGAACAGGTAAAACTAAGGTTCAAAAAGTCAGAACTGTTTGTTAGGTGGGGGTTGGGGAAGTTGATGTGGGATGGGGAGATTGACTGGGAAGACTTGAGAAAACTGTCTAGGTAGATAGAAATGTTCTGAATCATGTATTCATTTGTCAAAATAGCACAGTTAATATTTGTTTATATCTATGCATGTAGATAATAGAGTGAGGGAGTGGGTAAGTGGAAGGAGGTTTAGATAAAACAAGATTGGCAAAACATTGTTAGTTGTTGAAGCTGAGTGATTGTACTGTTCTTTTTACTTTGATTTGTTTGAAATTTTCCATAGAAAAGAGTTTTTTAAAACTATTTTGTATTAGAAAATTATAACCTGTTTTAAATAGTTGTTAATTTTATTCATTAATATGTGTTAAGTAGAATAGTAGCAATGGAACACATTTTTTTTATAACATCATCATCAAATAATTAGACACTTGGGCTTTCAGTATTTTTCTTATATGCTATTCATAACAAATTAGGAAGTTCAAATAGTAAGCATAGATACTCCCTTTGAAATACACAAGACAATGTAGAAGAATATAATGTAAATTAAGTAATTAATAAATTAATTTTACTAATGTGTCTAGTTTACATACTCATTCTGAGGTTGAATCATTTAATTTCTACTTAGGATTTTTTGGAAAAGAGAAGAACTTTGTTCCCTGTAATTTTTATTTTACAAGTTTTTATCTCTGACCAAGGAACTCTTTCGTAAGGAGGTTACATCTTGAGGGGGTTCAGGAACAGTGAGCTGGAGGCAAGGGTGTAGAGTCTCAAAAATGGAGTTGGGTGTAGTTTTTTTTTTTTACTACAGCCTGATATAAGAAATATTTTTCAGTGCTCAGAGTCATCTACAGATGTGCAACGCTATCAAAAATACTTCCTTCTGCAGTTCTCTTCCACCCCTACCTGTTGAATGTAGTGAATTAGATGGAGATCTCAATTCATTACCTATAATCTTTGAAGATAGGTATTTAGATTCTGTTACTGAAGGTAAGTGTAATCTAACTAAAATATGTATGCCTTGTGTATCATTTTTATTTTTAGTATATGCTTCCTGATATACGTAAAACCATTCCCTAATGTGGAATAGTTTTTCCCCCTCTAGTTTTGTTAATTTTTTTGAGGTATTAGAAAGTTATAGTCAGAAAAAGTAGTCTTAATCGTATGAGTTTTCACACCTTGTTTTAAACCTGAATCTTTTTTTCTTTGGATAAAAGACTTAGATGCACCCTGGATGGGAATTCAGAATCTTCAGAGATCAGAGTCCAGTAGAGTGGATAAATATGAGACTGAAGAAAGCTCTGTAGCTGGACTTTCTAGCCCAGAGTTGAAAGTCAGACCTGCTGGTGCCTCCAGTATTTGGTATACAGAAGGTGAAAAGCAGCTAACAAAATCTCTAAAAGGAACGAATGAAGATTCAAATAAATCCAAAGTTAAGGTTACTAAGCTTATGAAAACAATGAAACCTGAAAACACAAAAAAATTAATAAAACAGAACTCTAAGGATTCTGTGGTTTTAGTAGGCTACAAATGTTTGAAAAGTACAGCATCAAATGATCTCTCTAAATGCTTTGAAGGCAATCCTTCACATAGTCAGAAAGAAGGTCTGGATCCCACAATATGTGGATATAATTTTGACCCAAAGACCTACATCAGACAGACAATTCAAAAGGAAGCTAGCTATTTGCCAACAGATACAGAGAGAACTGAACAAAAGTCTCCAGATATTGAAAATGTGCAACCAAACCAATTTGATCCTTTGAACTCTGGCAGCCTAAATCTTTGTGCAAATTTGTCCATTTCAGGTAAACTTGGTATCTCCCAAGATGATAATGAAATTACACAAGTGGAACGCAATCTGGCTTCCAGAAGTTCATCAGACGATTGCCATGATCATCAGACAACTCCATCTTCGGGAGTTAGAACAATTGAAGTAAAGCCCAGTAATAAAGATCCTTTTGGGGGAGAGAAAATAACTGTTAAAATAGGACCTTGGACAGAGCCACGACAAGATGAACTATTTGTGGATAATTTACAGCTACCCAACACTGAATCCTTAGAATCTAATGGTAAATCTAAATCTATAGAAATAACACTTGAAAAGGAAGCTTTACAGGAAGCAAAGTGTCGTTCTATTGGAGACTCATTAGCTAAGTTAAGAAGTAATCTACCTGTTCCTTCTACAAAAGAATATCATGTTGTAGTAAGTGGAGATACAGTTAAGATACCAGATATTCATGCCACATATGCTTCATCTAGATTTTCAGATTCAGGTGTTGAAAGTGAACCAAGTTCTTTTGCAACACATCCAAACCCTGATGTAGTTTTTGAAACTGTACAAGGGCAAGTTCCTTATAATAATGAAAGATTATTTCCTCAGCTTTTGATGAAACCTGATTATAATGTAAAATTTTCATTAGAAAGTCATTGTACTGAGAGTACAAGTGCTTTAAGTGAAATACAGTCATCTTTGACATCCATAAACTCTCTGCCTTCTGATGATGAACTGTCACCTGATGAAAATTCTAAGAAATTTGTCGTACCTGAATGCCATCTAAGCGATAGCAAAACTGTATTAAATCTGGGAACAATTGATTTGCCAAAATGTGATGATAGTAAAAAGTCAAGTATTATCTTGCAACAGCAGAGTGTTGTATTTTCAGGGCATTTGGACAATGAAACTATAGCAATACATTCCTTAAATTCAAGCACTAAAGACTCTTTACAATTTGTTTTTTCAGATGAATATACTTCCAGTGATGTGAAAAGTAGTAGCAGCTCCAAACCTAACTTGGACAGTATGTGTACAGGCTCTCAGAGTCCTAATAAATCCAATAACCCTGTAGAGACAGCAATTAAATTAAATTCAACACTGATTTCTTTAGGAACCCCTTGTGTTGTTTCAGGTTGCGTTTCTACTAATACAGAAATTAATGAAGATAGAACTGTGAAAAGAATAACTAGTGATACATTAAATCACAAACAAATATATTCACAAGTCTCTACAGTCAAAAATGAAAGTCATCTGGGTGCAGGTGACCCGTTTTCATCCAGTACTGATGTGGTAAAGCAAGGACTCGTGGAAAATTATTTTGGTTCTCAAAGCAGTACAGATATTTCTAACACATGTGCTGTTAACTACGGCAATTCCTTTAGCTCTCAGAAGGAAACTTTTGAAAAAGAAATTAGTAATCTTCAGCAGGAACAGATTAAAGAGGATGAGGAGGAAGAACAGGATCAGCAAATGGTTCAAAATGGGTATCATGAAGAAACAGATTACTCAGCTTTGGAAGAAACAGTAAATGTTCACTTTACAAACAGAGATGCACTAACAGAAGAAAAACTTATAAAATCTGAAAAAATACATAGTGAATATCTGAGGGATGGTATAAACATGCCTACTGTCTGTACTTCGGGTTGTTTGTCTTTCCCATCCGCACCACGAGAGTCTCCTTGTAGTTTTAAATGTTCTTCTAACAGTAAATTTGATGCCATTACAAAACAGCCAAGCAGCACATCCTACAACTTCACTTCATCATTTTCCTGGTATGAAAATTCACCAAAACCTCAAATACAAGCGTAAGTAATGGAGTGATAATAGTATGTGCTACTAAAAAAAATATATGTATATATGTGTGTGTGTGTATATATATATATATGTATATATATATTATCATCATCATAAGTAGTGCTAAAGGGATTAATGTCTATTTTGTTCTCTTGTCTCTGTAATACAAAAATGCTTCTTTGATTAGCTGTCTAAAATGGAGATATGAACACAGTACACTTTTTGCCAGACAGACCTGTAGTTCGCCGAATGGTTGTCCTGTTCTAACCATTGCCGTGGGATCGATTCCGACTCATAGTTACCCTATGGGACAGAGTAGAATTGCACATAGGGTTTCCAAGGCTGTAATCTTTACAGGAGCAGACTGCCACATCTGCACAGAGTGATGGTGGGTTCAAACTGTCGACCTTGTAGTTAGTAGCTGAGCACTTAACCTCTGTGCTACCAGGGGTCCTGTTCTATAGGCTAGACATTCCTAATTAGATAATTGAGGGCGAACCTTTTTTTTTTTTTCATCAGTATCTTATTTCTCCCCCATTAGCCCCAGAGAAAACCTCAGTTTTATAAGTATACTTAGGGAATGAGGACAATATTAGATAATGAAGCAGGTTACTAGAAACTAAGTCTATAACACTAAAAATTGCCTCATCTAAGCCAGGGATTTAGATAAGATCTCACAGGTCGATAAAGTATCCAAAAATTTTGAGGAATGACAGTTACTTGTACGTCACTGACTCAAAATATTCCTATCCCCAGACTATTGTGATCTGTACATCTAATTAAGATCCATAGTGCCAAAACCTTTGAAACTAGTGAGAAGATAATGGCAGTAAAGAATATAAGTTGAAGAAGTTGACAGTTATATCACCTTCTGGGTGCCTCCAAATGTTTATGGATTATTAAGGAAAACAATGGTCTACATGTCTTCACACAGTGTATCCTGCTCAGTTTAGTGTTCATCAGCTTCTTTGAGTTTTATCAGTCCAAATGATTTGTTAAATAATGTATTAGTCACATCCCCCTCTTAGTTCTGCACCTTCTCAATGGTATTGTAGAGAAAAATACAAATACCGTAATTATCTAAAATCACTGGGTGGTACCAATGGTTAATACACTTGGATGCTAACTGGAAGGTTGGAGGTTTGAGTCCACCCAGAGGTGTCTTAGAAGAAAGGCCTGGTGATCTACTTCCCAAAAAAAATCAGCCGTTGAACACCCTATGGAGCACAGTTCCACTCTGACACACATGAGGTCTTCATGAGTCAGAACTGACTTGATGGCAACTGGTTTTTACTAAATACTGTAACCACCATTCTCATGGTTAAACTTTGTAGAATAGCTCCTTTCCTTCCGTTTATGTAAGATTAAAAAGGAGCAAAGAGGATAGTTTTGACTACAGGATAAGTGTCGGATTGTCATTTTTCTAGCATCTCTCCGACCTTCTTTTCTATGTATATAATATAAAATTTTACAGAAAGCCTAGCTCTGCTCGTAATATTTTCTTAGTTGATTTCAAATTTAAAGAGTATTAAGTGATTTTTCAGGTTTAAAGTGTTCATTGTATTTGATTAGATAACGTACTAAAAATAATAAAGAAAATTATACTACTACAGTATTTGAAACATCTTTTGAAGTTACCAGAACTTGAATTTCTAAGTCAGTTATGTGATTCCACATACTTTTTAGGGTTTTAAAACCAAATATTGTTGAGTTTCTCCCTCTTCAGTTCTGTAAATTGAGCAGATTGTCTTTTTAGTTCTAAAACCTGAGTATGATACTTAGTAAGGAGTTACCTTTTATAATTTTTTTACTTCAGTTTCCTTCAGGCAAAAGAAGAATTGAAGCAACTTAAACTCCCAGGATTCATGTACAGTGATGTTCCTCTACTGGCATCCTCAGTACCTTATTTTAGTGTGGAAGAAGAAGATAGCTCTGAAGACGGAGTACATCTTATTGTCTGTGTGCATGGGTTAGATGGTATGTGATATCTATTGATGTCATAACAACTCATAACAATATGGTTTCTTTTCATAATAGATCCTATTTTGTCTTATTTAATCTTTGAACAGAAAAAAATTTTTAATTAATTAAATCTTAAATACATTTTAAAATAGAAATATACTTAATTTTGCTAAGTATAATATTAGATTTCCTTTTTAAACTAATTTTTCATGGAACTGACATCCATATGCCAACACTTTATTTTAACTTTAGAGTTTTGTGTCTTCTCTCTCATTATTGGTCTTGTCACCTACCACATCATAACAATCGTTTTGTCTCATTGGATAATTTTCCTAGTTCTCTTATAGCTTGCTGCTTTAAACTTATAAGCTAGAAAAACCAATATTCTTAATGAACTAAAAGTTCATTAACTATTGCTAACATATAAATTAAATTATAAATACCCATTGCCATCAAGTCCATTCCAACTCATGCAACCCATGGGATACAATAGAACTACCTCATAGGATTTCCAAGGCTGTAAATCTTTACAGAAGCAGATTGCCACGTCTTTCTCCCAGAGTGGTTGGTAGGTTGGAACTGCTGACCTTTCTCAGTTAGCAGCCAATGCTTAACCATTGCATCAACAGGGCTCCTAAATTATAAATACCTGGTTTTCATGCTGTGGTTTCATGACCAGCATTTTGGTTACTCAATGGACTATTTTTCTAGACATAAGAATTATGCTAGGTATCCCTAGACTAGCAGTGTGTTACTATATTATGTGATTCTGTAAGAACAAACTGACAAAGGATTTTATGGATTATAAGAATTCTAGGACAGTGCTAGTAAATCCTCATGAAATTGGGGATTTTTTTTTTAAATCTCTCAGAAAATATAATACCTTCAATACCACCACCATTCCCAAATTACAACATTTTCAAAGAATCATCTTCAAGAAATCTTCAATGGAATCTGACAGATTCTTCTTTGAAATTTTCAAGAAACAGATTCATCTTATGTCACAAAAATTGTTCCAGAATAATAGAAAAAAAGATAGAATGCAGGTCATGTTATTCTTGGAAGTTAACCTAAACTTACTACCAAATCTGGTAAGGATATCACAGCAATACCCTAAAAACCAATAGACCCATCTGACACAAATACACTTAAGAAAACTCTAGCAGATAGAATCAAGATATTAATGTAAGTCACTATAACAAATAGTTTAGCTTCCAGAATGCAAAGATAAATTTATTAACAAAATATACTATATCAGAAACTCAAGTAAGAAACTATTAGTAAAATCCAATATCTATTCCCAATTATGACAACTAAGCACCAAAGTTTAAACCTTAAGTAGGACTAGGCTAGTTCATTAGTGTGATTAAGCATATATTTTTCCAGCCCATGTAAAATTTATACTTAATAGTGACACACTAGAAGTGTTCCTTTTAGAATCAGGAATAAAACAATAATCTCTGTCAGTGAATTAATTCACGAGACTTCTAAAAGATGTAAATTGGAGAGGTAAAGTAAAAATTCAGCAGTTGATAAAGACATTTTTATATTCCTGTTAAATCCAAAGGAATAACAAAATCTACTAGACTTTTTTTTTAGTTAATGATTATATTTTATATTATAAATATTTTATATTTATAAATATATTTTAAGTTAATAAACTATTTTAGATTATTTAACTAGATTTTGCACTCTCTCAGTCTCTACCATTATCACCAGAGGAAGGTGAACAGCTTAAATGTAAACCTAAAATGTATTCAAGGTTTGTTAAATAATCATCTAGAATGGTGATGGTAAAGAGCACTTAGCCAGTCATTCACAGCTACTATAGCCAGCAGTCACAAAACTGATGGGCTAACAGTTAGTTAAACAAATACACCATTAGAAAGCATTAATGTGACCAAAAACTCCTAAGAAACAAACTGATGAATGACATTGTCTACCTAATAGATACCAGCTTTGACATAAAAATCGAGAACTCTCTATTTCAGAATGCATTGTTTGTTCATAACTGGCATAGGCCATAATCTGGTCTTCAAATAGTGTAAAAATAAATGACGATGTACTTTATACCTTTACTTTGTCCCATCCTTTAAATATAATTTTTCTTTTTCTAGGTAACAGTGCAGATCTTCGATTAGTAAAAACTTATATTGAACTTGGACTACCTGGGGGAAGAATTGATTTTCTCATGTCTGAGAGAAATCAGGTACAATATGACAGTGTTTTCAATGGAAGCAAACATTTTTGTACCAGTTTCTATCTAAATATTTGCTCACTACAAAATGCTTGTAGTAGTAGAAATAATTTTTTCTAATTTCAGTGATATTTGACATAAGTACATATCCCAAGGAAATAGATACGATTTATATTTTGATTTTTGAGTTCTTCTCTTCATATATGAATATTTTTTAGAATTTCACATTTTTATGCAATTTATTAACTAAACTATATAAAGCCTTATGTTTACTGCTGGTAGAGGGCCAAAAAATTAAGCAATTGATTAAATGAAGCAAATGTTAATAAGGACATTAAGCCTTTTTTTCCCCTAGAAACTCACTCTTTTTGTTAATTGTAATATGATGCATATTACATTCACTAACTTCTGCAAGAAATACTGGTCTTAAACATATATTCAATACCAATAAAATGGTATTTATATTTAATCTGCATGCTGAGCAAATAATCTGAGAAGGTGGACTATATGAAGAAGAATACTGCATCAGGATAGAAGACTCATGAACAACCTGCAATATGCAAGTGACACAACCTTGCTTGCTGAAAATGAAGAGGATTTGAAGCACTTACTGACGAAGATCAAAGTCTCCAGCCTTCAGTATGGAGTGCACCTCTATGTAAAGAAAACAAAAATTCTTACAACTGGACCAATAAGTAACATCATGATAAACGGAGAAAAGATTGAAGTTGTCAAGGATTTCATATTACATGAATGCACAATCAACGCCCATGGAAGCAGCAGTCAAGAAATCAAAAGACGCATTGCACTGGGCAAATCTGCTGCAAAAGACCTCTTTAAAGTGTTAAAAAGCAAAGATGTCACTTTAAGGACTAAGACGCACCTGACCCTTGCCATAGTGTTTTCAGTCACCTCATATGCATGTGAAAGCTGAACAATGAATAAGGAAGACCAAAGAAGAATTGATACCTCTAAATTAGGGTGTTGGTGAAGTATATTGAATATAC